AATCAAGCAAGAAAAGAGCTATTGCTCCTTCCTCTATCCCTCTCTCCTCCTCTCTGTTGCCGCCGCCCCTTCCCTTCCCTCTTCCTGCGCTGCCAATCTCCTTGCACCCTAAACCCTAGCCGCCCTCCACCATAGCCGCAACCACCCCCCTGCCCCCAAGTGACGTGTTACAAAATGCTTTAGCAATGTTTTACTAAAATAAAAATAAGTTGACACGTGTCCTCTGTGGCCTGCCGTTTTGTTTTTCTCGTGCAGGAACCAAGCCGATGTCCTCCATGTGTCGCATAGAATTCCTTTCCGTGTTAACATGGGTTTGGATCAATTTTGGATCCACCCATTTATGGACTACTTTAAATGGGTTAAGTTGGGTTGGGTTGGGTGGGTTAGTCGGTTCCATGGGTATACAAATGGAAGCAGCATATTCATCATAGTGTGTTATTCGTCTCAAGATCTGTTGTTGCTGTCGGGCAAATCGGCTGACTGCAATTCGACGTTGACTACGTCGAGCGCCCACGTGTCAGGAGGATCCTAGAGCCCTGCCACCGATGGTGGCATCGGTGGAGGCGGTGGCACCTCGGGCGGGACGTAGTCAATATAGAGGATACGTGCGAGGTCCGCGGAGACAGGAAATTTGGTGTAGAGCGCGCAGGGCGCCGGGCGTGGCGTTTGGCGTCGCACCCGGTGGTGCGTGCGCACGGCGCACATAGGAAGGCCCGGTGGACGGCATAGTGCACTACGCCTGCCTTGCACGCTGCTCCACTACGCCCAGCACGGCATGCGCCTGTGCCTGCCCTGCGACATCCCCGTGCACGCCTGCCACCGCGCGTGCCCACGAGCTTGCCCCGCTCTGCGAGGGCTGCTGCGCACTGGGGATGCACGGGGATGTCGCAGGGCAGGCACAGGCGCGTGCCGTGCTGGGCGTAGTGGAGCAGCGTGCAAGGCGGGTGTAGTGCACTGCGCCGTCCACCAGGCCTCCCTATGCGCGCCATGCGCACGCGCCGCCGGGTGCGATGCCAAATGCCATGCCCGGCGCCCGACGCGCTCTTAACCGAGTTCTCGGTCCTCGTGTATCCTCTATATTGACTACGTCCCGCCCGAGGTGCCACCGCCCCCACCGACGCCGGCGGCGGCGGCAGGACTCTAGGATCCTCCTGACACGTGGGTGTCCAGCATAGTCAACATCGAACTGCACTCAGCCAATTTGCCGGGCAGCAACAACAGATCTAGAGACGAACAACACACTATGATGAATGAGGTATCTACATGCTGCTTGCATTTGTATACCCATGGACGGATGGAACCGAGACCCACCCAACCCAATCCATTTAAACTAGTCCATAAATGGGTGGATCCAAAAGTGATCCAGACCCATGTTAACCCACGCATGCACGGGCTATGCGCGACCACGACACTAGAGCCCCCTTCGGTTGAAGTTTGTCCCATCCACATATTTTCTCCACGAAATCTTAATTTGGAAACAAGTAAATAAATTTAAAATTACACACAAAAAAAGAGGCGACAAGAAATCATCAAGCAGAAATAATCTAGCACACACCAGCACGCAAAACGCAAGTAACAATTAAGGTTCCCCTTCAGTAATAACGAATGAACAAAGGAATGACATAACAAGCTAGCTATGGATAGATTACCATGGTACTTGGCAATGGTTGGCCTCTAGTAACGCCCAGCCCGGGAAGATGGCTAAGATCTACTCTACACGTTGAATGGACCACTCTCTTGCGCTTTCGTCATCGCTTCGCGCAAAAGGTTTGAACCAGAGTTAATCCCCTCCCAAGCTCAGGCTTTTAAGCTGGTTCGGCACCTCCTCTGGTTGCGAGTTCCAATGTGGGAGTAAAGTCCCCTAGTTATAGTGTCCTGCTGGTACAGTAACAGGCAAATTGAAATCCGTGAAACCGCGAGAGTTAGCTCTGAATACCATTTGTAACGCCCTAGTCTGAGAAGACGGCTAAGATCCACTTTAGACCACACCTGCTAATTAACTTTCTTACGCTTTCGTCCTCGCTTCGCGCAAAATGTTCATCCCAGAGTTAATTCCCTCCCAGGCTCAGGCTTTTAAGCTGGTTCAGCACCTCCTCGAGTTCCAACGTGGAACTAAAGCCGCAGCTACAGTGAGCCTCTGATACAGTACCAGTACCGGCAACCGGTGCTACAGTACTCGCCCATTCGGCCTAGCCCATCAGGCCGCCCAACTTGGCCCATTTAGCGGGGTCTCACACCTCGGCAACTCCTTTGTGATCTGATTACACCGCGCACCTCTCTTCCTCCATCTCTTCGATGAGATCAGTAAGATACTCTCTTTCAAACTAACTCTTCGACATGCCACGTCGCGAGGTCCTATGTAATTATGCCATCCTCCTCCTCCTCCTCCTCCTCCGCCACCGTAGAACACTTTCTTCGTCGTGACTCTTCTTTGCTGCATGCGCTTTGCCTCGGCCGGCTTCTTCTTCGCGAGGTCGCCGGGACGCCGGAGCCGTGGTGCTCCATGATTGCGCTTGTTGCTGGCCGGGTCCAAATTTGCCTGCGGTGGCGGCGCCCGGCCGCAAGCAAAGAGACTGTAAGAGAATGTAGAACTGGAGAAAAACAGCGCAAGTTTCATTCAACAGTGAGGTGTTACATATACAAGAGCAAGGCTCTTGCCACCCACTCATCCCCTAACTACCGATCCTGGGAGTGTTCGGCAGGGCTGAAAAATAAGCCAAAATACTGTTCTAGCTGATTATTATGAGAGAAAAATATTGTTTTGTCTGGAAACACTGTTCACAGAAACAGTGCCCCGTGTGAGTGCGCGCCCCAGCCCCAGCCCAGCTGTCCAGCCAGCCGAACGCACCCCCTATTTACCAGCGAGAGTGGGAGCGGGGGGGCTGGCCACATATATACACCAGCTATTCTGCTAGCCTAGCCTATACATGTCCGTTGACAGAGACAGAGACGACCCCGATCTGATCTAGGGTTTGCTACCCGTCTGCATGCAGGAATGGAAGGACAGAGAGGGGAGGGTGACCTGATGAGCATATAATGTGGCCGAAGCCTGGTTTTGAATTTTGAATTTTGAATTTTGATCGAGGTGGGAGCGACATTATCGGCCATCCTATGCATGCGTCGAACGGGCAATCAGGATGTGCTATGCAAATTATTCCTTTAATGCCTTTATTATTATTATAGAAACATAAATTTATTTTCGGCCAGTGAAAAAGGGGGGAAAATCCATTTATGTCCTGAACTAAAGCAAATCCGTCTGATGCATGCCATTGCAAATTATATGGATTCTGATAGTGCTATCCAAATTGTTCGCTTTTCCTTGATTGCTGCTATTGAAGAATTATTTGTGTTACCTTGGATGTCATTTCCTTCACAACTAGGTTTTTTTGGAGCACAGATAGGCTGGCAAATGTCACACGTGGCCGTGTCTCCACCGCGCACCGCTCCTCCCTTACAACCTTACAGTCACAGGCTCCCAGTCTCCCGCGTCGGGACCTGCACTCAGAGGCCTCTCGTGCGCCCGCGTCCGCCCACCTCCTCCTACTCGTCCCGCTTCCTTCTCCTCCCTACACCGTGCCATCCGCCCCCCGCGGACGCTCCACCGAGCCAACGAGCCCTCCACGACGGATGCTCCAGCAAGCAGGCGAGGGGAGGAGCTTCGTGTGATGCCACCCCGCCGGCGAGTTGCCCGCGCCACTATCGCACCGGCGAGCTCCATGCGCTGCAACCGACCTCCACGCTGGTGTTGAGCTCCACAACGATGAGCCTCCATTCATCCAAGCAGCAATGTGACATTACGCTGAAAGCGCATGTTGCAAGCACATGTTTCAAGTATTTCAGATGTTTTCAGAGGTATGTTACAAGTGTTTTATATCGATGTTGCAAAAGTAGATTTGGATGTTGCACATGTTGCAATTGCTATACACGTTTGTTTCAAGTGAATGTTCCAAATATTGTTTGTTGTTTTAGATGTATGTTGTAAGTGTTTCATTTGGATGTTGCAAAACTAGATCGGGATGTTGCATATATATGCAAGTGTTTCAGGTGTTTTTATACGTATGTTGCAAATATTTCATCTTGATATTTGCATATGTTTGTAATGGCTACACACATGTTTTTCATGTGTTTTTTGTTGTTTTATAAGTGTTTTAGACGTATGGCGTAAGTGTTTCGGCTGTTTTTCCAGACGTATATTGAAAGTGTTTTATTTGGATGTTGCAAAAGTAGATTGGATGTTGCACATGTTGCAATGCGCGTGAAAAGCGGTGGAGGGGGGCACGAGCGGTCCCCACACATGGTCTGGCGGCGTGGGCCCCGCGTGGGCGGGTGCGTGCTAGCGCGAGCGCGGTCATAAAGTGCAAGCACGCACACGGGAACCAGAGTGCAGCGTGGACGTTCGGACGCAGCGTTGACTTGGCTCAACTCGGCCAGCCGAGCGTAGCTGCTGGTTGAGCAGCCCCGTGGGCTGTGGATGAGTGAGAGTTGGATTGAATTGGGCGGTATTTAGTTGGGCAGGTAAGCTTTGCATAGTAAAGATTTTTTACTATAGCATTTCGTTTGTATTTGTGAATTATTGTCCAAACATTGACTAATTAGGCTCAAAAGATTCGTCTCGCAAAGTTAAAGTAAACTGTGCAATTAGTTTTTGATTTCGTCTACATTTAGTACTCCGTGCATGTACCGCAAATTTGATGTGACGGAGAATCTTCTTTTTGTACAGTGCACTCTTGATAAGTTTGGAGGAGGGCATGGAGGAAGCCGACGACCTCTTCGCTCGCCCGCGGAAAGTGGCTTCCCTTCCCTCCCAAACCCGAACCAAATTCAAATTCCAATTTTCCAAATCAATCCCCGCCCCCGCGCGCTCCAACTCCAATCAGAAACGCTCAAATCCAAACCCTTCAGAAGGCCGCGCATCTCCATCAGTGAACCAGATCTCTCTCCACCTCCATTCCCTGATCCCCGTTCCCCAATCCCGACCTCGGTTGGTTGACGCGGCGGCGATGGTGCGCGAGCTACGCGTCGACACCTTCTACGTGCGCCTCCGCGCGGCCGCGGCGGCGGCGGGCTCCTCCTCGTCGCCGCTCCTGATCCTCCCGTCGGCCGCCGACGCCGACTCGCTCTGCGCGGTGCGGGCGCTCGCGCACGTCCTCGCCGCGGACTCCGTCCGTTTCTCCGTCTACCCCGTCGCCTCCGCCGCCGCCGCCAGGGCCCTCCTCGCCTCCTTCTCCGCCTCGGCCTCCGCGCCGCTCTGCCTCGTCCTCGTCAACTGGGGCGCGCACCGGGACCTGGTGAGCGCCGTCCTGCCAGACACCGCCACCGCCTTCGTCGTCGACTCCCACCGCCCCGTCCACCTCGACAACCTCTGCGCGCGGAATGGTCGCGTCGTCGTCCTCTTCACCGCTGACGACGACCGCGCCGCGGACCTCTCCTACGACTTCGACCTCGCCGCGCTCGCCGACGCCTCCGACCTCACCGCCCAGGGCGACGCCGACACCGACCCCCTCCGCGCGGCTTCTGGCTCCGACGCCTCCGAATCCGACTCGGAGGACTCCGACGCCGACGAGGATGTCCGCGGCGGCGGCGGCAGGAGGAAGAGGCCTCGGCTCTCCGACGACGCCGGCGCCGACCCGTGAGTCTGTTCGGGAGGCTGCGGCGGGAGTACTACCGCCTGGGCACGTTCCACGGCAAGCCGTCGGGGTGCCTCATGTACGAGCTGGCCCACGCGCTGCGCCGCAACACCAGCGAGCTCCTCTGGCTCGCCTGCGTCGCGCTCACCGACCAGTTCGTCCACAACCGCATCACCAACGAGCGGTACCAGGCGGCGGTCATGGAGCTGGAGCAGCACGTCAACGGCTCGGGCAACCTCGACCCGTCGGGCGCCGGCGCGGTCGTCACGCTCAAGGACGGCACCAAGGTCCGCGCGCCCGAGGCGTCCCGCATCGCTTACGAGGACGAGCCGCGGCTCATGCTGCTGCGGGAGTGGAGCCTCTTCGACTCCATGCTCTGCTCCTCCTACGTCGCCACCAAGCTCAGGACGTGGACCGACAACGGCCTCAAGAAGCTCAAGCTGCTGCTCGCCAGGATGGGGTTCCCGCTCGCCGACTGCCAGAAGAGCTTCCAGTACATGAGCATGGAGGTCAAGCGCAAGATCCGGACGGGTTTGACCGCTTGCTGCCTGAGTACGGGCTCACCGAGTTCTACTACCGGAGCTTCTTGAGGGTACAGGTCCAAGGTATCGGCTGCAGACGTTGTGTATGGTGTCACGGCGTTGCTTGAATCGCTGAATGCCGAGTCCAAGGGCTCAAAGGAGTCCTCTGCTGCCGAGCAGTTTTGGGCTGCATACTCAGCATTGTCGCTGAGCAATGTTGATCAGTTGCAGAAAGGGATGCAGTCTGCAATTGAGACTCAGAGGGCGATTTTGAGGCAAAGAAGCTCGGCCATTACTAAGACAGGGTTTATACGGAGTGCCAAGAAGTTCCGGTGGGTCAAGCTTGATGACCCTGTGGACACTATCAAGCTTTGCCACCCACAGGCGCTTACCAAGTTCTGCTTCTTTCTGATGGATGCGCTGAAGGAAAGAGGTGCAAGGATGAAGCCGCTAATCTGTTCTTGCTTAGCAAAGGAGCCTGAGAAGGTACTGGTTGTTAGTATGTGGAAAACCAAGGCTTGGGGCTGCTCAGGGTAATGCCTTTGGTAACGCATTCAGATCAGCGGCAGAGGAGATCGGTGCAGACTATTTCCATGACATGTTTGAGTCATCATGGATTGTTCTGGATGTTGTTGCTGTCAGTTCTTTCATGATTCGGTTAACGGACAAGCTGTGATCAGACTATCAGATGGAATGATCTTGTATTACGTGGATGGTTCTTTCAGGTCTCAAGATGGGAGACTCAGCACCACTCTCTCAGAATAAAGTTGCTTGAGGCCAGGTGCTACATGACATGTATTTTCCTAAGTACCATTCCACCTCCCATTTCACTAATGTAGGGAAAGCAGCCTGATAAGCATCCTGCTTTGCCAAGTTTGAGCTGCCTAGGGATCATGACTTCAGAAATTGAGAAGAGGGTTTTCCTCTGTTTTAACTCCCCCATTAGCAAATGATAGATCTGTAGATTCAAATGCAAACCTGGCTCTAGCCTAGAGGGGGCAAGGTATATTTCTTTACTTTCTTTTTATCTGATACAATGGATGTTTGTATCTGTATCTGCTTAAACATGCTTGAGAACATTTGTTGTATTCAGTTCTGTACCACCAAGTGTCTTGAAATTCTATGAGTTTATAACAAGTACCTTTCTAGTATGTGAACCTGCTCATATTTTTATGAACTATAAAACCATCTTAAGAGCAGATTGCTCTTTTCTGTTAAAGTAATGTTGAAACAAGGAAACAGGCATTTTCTTTTTGTCAATGTTGAAGGCTGTAAACCTGTGACATGCTGTTCAATGTTCATAACTTAGACAGTTGATCTTTTTTACAAAGAAATATCAGGTATGTTCCTGGCCTGGATAGTTCAGGTATCTGAGCTGCTCTAGAGTTTTAATTCCTCAATGCACTGGACAAGTGCTCTCGAGCACTGTATATGTTTTGTGCAGAGAATATAGGTCCTATGAATTGCTGTGTTCATCCACTAGGCTACAAACCAACCTTTCAACGTTCAAACAGTGTTGTATCCTGATATTTGACAGTACAACCTTGTATAATGTAGTTTTAGACTTCTGGTGATGTTATACATTGTAGATAAGAACTTGAAGTTCTTAACCAGTCTTCACAATTCATGTTTTTGTGATGTCATAGAAATGTAGAGCAGATTTCTATTTCATATTGTTAACTGGATTTTCTTAACCAGTTAACACCAATTGATTATATGTGGCAGATATGATAAAATCTGTAGCAGACTTTATTCATTTAACTGGAATGCTAATGCCATCCTTTTTACTACTAAGTGTATACTGTATCTGCAAGAAATGTTGATCATCTGAATTTGATTGTAAACATTGAAAGTTATATACAACAGTAAATGGATTTTTTGTTTGAAATGTCTTTTGCATTCTATGAAAGCAGTGTTTGCAAACTGGAGAAGTTTGTCTCTTACACAACTGAACACTTTCCAACTTAATTAACTGATAATTTCATACAACTAATAACAACTGAAAATTTTCCCTTTTTTCTCCTTCCTCATTCCATATTATATGCATGCAGTTTCCTAAATTAGTTCTATTGCGCCTTGACATGTAAAATTACAAGAGACTTAAATTATATATCTATTTATATTGAGGATGATTGATATACTTTACGTTAAAAAAAGGATGATTGATATACTTTCTATTGAGATAATAAACTGACAAGTCCAAAAACATTGAAATGATTGCAGTAGCACCACAACCTTATGACATGTTGAGTTTCCCTCTTGTTTGCTTGTAAGTTGAAAGCTTTTGCTTAGTTGCAGCGATTTCCAGACCCTGCTGATTGCTGGCTAGCGCAAGTATTACTTCAGTGATGATGTAGTAGTATTTTTTTGGATCAGGCTGTAACAATCAGCTGTGTGCTTCATAGTTTATGGCCCTAGTATGGAATCCAAATGGGCCTAAGAACTGTTTGGGCCTTAAACAAGGACTAAAGGACAGTCAAATTAGCCTTTTTTCTTCTTCTTTTCCTCCTAATTTCCGGCGATCTGAATCATTAAAAACTGAATTCATCCACATGTTTCACAGTTTGAGACAGTGATGGTCCTTGGTCCCCTGCAGCTATGGGCATGTCTGACTGGACGACTGTCTCTGGGTTGTCAAGTAGCATGTTTCCAGTTCTCATGCGCAACATTCCGTCACACCTCTGTGATGTATGTTTTGTAAGTCCCCTCATTTCTGGACACCTGCTTGACTTTTGTTTCACTCCAATAAGATTCACTTTCATTCGGTTGCTGTTAGTCATAATTATGCATCACTAGCTAAATATCACAGTTTACTGGGCATTTAATCTACTGAAAATAAACTTCTCTGGCAATTGGCTTGTCTTCAATAATTCACGTTCACATCAGTCAATCTTTTAAGTTCTTCCGAACAAAACACTGCCAAATAGTTTTCCCCTAACAACTAGCAAGTCCAATTTTCCAATGCCTACCTTGTGTTTTCCTGTGTTTAGGTCTAACGATGATGCCCAATCCAATGTTGATCAAGATTGATGGTTGCTGCTAACTGTTTAACTATCTATGAACAATTAAATCTTTGATGACGACTTGGCATCCACTATATACTTTGACCTGTTACTCTGTCCTGCCCTTTTTTGGAGTTTTGGTTGATTTTCTTGTCGGAAAGGGTCTTATTTGTTGTTCCTATCAAATATCTTCAGCTGAGAGCTTTGTCTCTACAGTTTTGTTTACATCAATCAGAAAGGCTGCTTTCTACTACACAATCCACATCACTACATGTAATTTGTTGCCCAAGCGCTAGGCCTTAGGATTTTTAATATTCTTTAGGTTAACTTGGTTGTTCTCAATCATGGAAATTGCAAATCCATTGTCCAATCTGATGATACTTTTAGTCCTGTACGTATTGCAAACAATTAGTGGTCCTATGCTAATTCCTTACAGCAGGAATAATTTGGTGCCATGCCCCCTTTAGAACTTTGGTTCATACATGATAGGCACATAAAGTTTCTGAAAAGTGTCTTTTTTTTAAATAAAAAAAATCATCCTGCAAACATGCCTTCTTGTTTACCATGCTTTCTATATGAAGTTAAATAGATATCGATGCCCTGAGAGTGTAAAATGCCTCTATTGAATTTGATGGTACCAGGATCATTTCATGTAAAATGCTTTTTCTTGATAAATTGGTGTGAAGATCGTACATTTTTAACTGTCCTCAGTTCGTTACAAACAAAGGAAACATCTGCTCTAGTTTGTCTTGACCCTGTAAAAACCTGAGTGCTTCCTGTCAACTTTTATTGTCCTTGTCACTATCAGTTGGCAGTCATCCACTATAATTATTTTCCTTATCTGAAGAAACGCATAATCAATTGATGGGCCTGTGATGATAAATAAATTCATATAAATTTTTATGACTTGCAGATAGTGCTCTCTGTTAATCTTTAATTGATTTTACAGATGGCACTAAGCCGTGTCAAATGGATCAACATCTTAGTTGAGCTCTTGCATTGGAGCTCGAGTATTTTGAAGATTGCCTGGAACACATAGCAGGCGATGTGGCATGTCTCATACCTTTCAATGTCACATCAAGCCTATTTATTTTGCTCTGGTGTAGATAGTCTACAATTAATAATGGGTTATGGAATGATCTCATAAATATGCCTTTGGCATGTGACGAATAGAGAAGGATTATGCGGATGATTAAGCTATATGACTTCTTTGTTGCATAAATACTATACATCAATGGTTTACCTATATATGCTTCTTAAACGGAAGCATCCTGCTTTGGGCAAGTTACACAAGTCGAATAGATGTAGTGAGCAGGTACAGGTTTATTGCAGTGGTTTAAGTTGCCTAACCAACTAGTGCTGAAAGCTCTCACACAAGGTGAGGGCAAGCGGTGGGGTTGGGGTTGGGGTTGGGGTGGGGGTGCTTTGTCTGGGAAAGTAACGTAACCTAGTAGTTAAGTAGTTTCCAATACAGACATTACTTCACAACAGATGCTGGATTCTGATAATACCAACCTTCATCTTGTTTGTATACCCCCTTCTCTATTGTGGTCCCTTGTAGATGTGATATATAGCAACTCCAGGAGTACTTATTTACTTCCATAAGAGCTACACTCTGTAACTAGCAGCCCTAGAAGACTAGTAAAACAGTAACAAATCCTTTTTAGTGCCAAGCAAGTTGGGGTAGGCTAGGTAGCAGCTCTACAAGGTAAAAAAAAAAAATACTATTGCGTGATATGACAGATTCTAGCTTTTTCTACATGTCAATACTAATTGTCTGAAACTTACAAAATTTTGATGAGAGGTTGTTATACGTGATGTTCTCATGACAAAAGTTGGTTGTGATAGTACTAGTGAGTCTTTTTTGAAGGCAATGGATGTGTGGTGTTCTTACACAACGACAGAACGATTGGCTGGTTGAGCCGCTGAGGTGGTCCTTGCCTCCTTGGTGCTAGTCTGGTTAGTACTTAGTAGTTGGAATGTGGCTACTAACTCTGTTCCATGACTATGCTGTAAAAATGCAATTTCATCTGAACTAAGAAAATAAGATACGGACAAGTCAAAGCTTGTCCAAAAGTTGTGTTTCTGAGACATTCTTCTGAATCAATAGTGCAACAAGCTGCAAGGTGTTCTCTTGTATTGTATGCCATGTCCTACACTATTATACAGTGTTTTTTTTCCTGTTGCTTCTGTTTCTCTTATGGTGGCAAATTTCTGTAACAGTTCTTTTCTTTTTAGAAATCTTCACTTAACTTTGTTAATTAAAGGTTCCATCACGTGTTTTTGCAATGTTCCATCTTTATAGATCACCTTTAATTAGAGGTAGAGCCAGGCCTGCTGAGTACCTAGAACACTATTGGATGATTATTATTCTAGTACTCGTGATGGAGATATTGTGACTTTGGCTTCTTAAACTCACAGCATCTTCAGCAGAAATAGTTGATTCTTGAGTAAATAAGCATGTCACCGTAATTTCTTGAGCAGCTGTGCATGTTTTTCCTGCTGGCAAACAAGCTTTTTGGACATATAACTTCCAGAAACTGGAATGCTATTGCCAATTCATTGTGATGATATTTAGTGAGGGATGGGGCCAATGCCAGATCACTGGTTCTCTCATGAACATATTGTGACACAGACATATATGATATATACGTGTAAGACATGTCTTTGCACATAAAGATACTCATGCAGCCAATAGGTAAAAAAATTGTGCTTGATTGATAAAATAAGAAGAAAACAATAGAATATATGATTTTTTATACAATACACTAAGTTAAAGTAGTTTTGAAGTATTTGTTACATCGAGCTACTTATAGCTACTAAAATCCATTTTGGTCAAAGGTATTTTGAAGCTTACTCCTGTTTTCATCAGACTGTAAACTTCATAATAAAGCCTGTAGTAGTTCTACAAATATGGACTAGAAATTGTTTTTGAGTTAACTGAAATCCTTATTCATGCATAACATTGTTCAGGTCGTCAGATCTTTCTTTTCTTTTTGGTTACATCATCTGTCTATTAAATAGCAATTAAATAACTGATGATGACACTGTCCTTATGCTATTGAACATGTCACTTTAAGATGCATTGTATTCTTGTGAGTACTCCTTAGGGCTGAGGGTATCATCTAATTAGGGCAAACTGGTGTCAATAATGGTTCAGTTTGAGTCTATTGCATTGCCTTTGCGCAGAAATAAAAGAGATGGCAACTCATGTCTGCCAAAGTGCCGATTGACGACTTGGTATGGAATGTGCATCGATCTGCACATATGACCAATGCATGCAGTCTTCAGATAACAAGGACCATCCTCCCTCGGTCTCCATGAAGAAAACAGTTGAAGCCTAGCTCTGTACAGAAAGACTCGTTTTTCTGCTGGTATTGATGAGCTGTGAGGTACTAAGCTTTGCACAAGAGACTTCAGAATTGTTTAGAAATTATTAGAACCGTCCATCAGTGGTCAGACTCACTGAACTACCTTGTCAGCAAGTGCTGCAAAATTCTGAGGAATGGTTGTTTTCAGATTGCTCCAGTTCGATAACCGAAGACTGATTTTGCCTGTTATCAGAACAGATATGTAAAACGCTATTCGACAGCGAAACTGACACCCAACCTATTGCTATTGCTATGCTGCAAGAAGTTTCCTGAGAGGCAGTGGAGCTTGTCTCTGTCGTCCACAGGTAACATAAATATAATTGACCTTACATATATATATATATATATATATATATATATATATATATATATATATATATATATATATATATACACACACACTTAAATCCTACCTGCGGGTTGGTTATGCTGGCACATTCCATTGTAATTAAACATGAGCAAGAGCAATAATGTCATATGGTCCTGCTTTGTCCCCTCATGTGAACTCAAGGCTATACCGAGGATGAGATGTATGCCTCTGATCGATGCTTATTATGCTCTCTGTAGAATAGTAGTTACTAGCCAGATTCTTTGCATAGATGAGTTAAACATGCAGTTCTTACAGGTATGCCTTCCATCAACCACACAACATATATGCAGATGAAGGTCGATCAAGTTCAACTGGCCAGCGTTTGTTTCATATATATTTCACACTTTGAATCGCCGCATAGTGTGCATGGATTATTGTTTTTTCTGGCTTGATGCAGACAGCCCTCAGTCGCCTATTTTTGTCCTCACAGAAGGTAGGCATCCTCCTTTCATTTGGTTGAAGATTTAATGATATGAGTTACTTAGACTATGACTGGACTTAAACATTTTAGACTATGACCGATGGACATGCATGCCGATTTTGTGTTCTTTTCTTTTTGTTTCTCCTTGCACAGAATTTTGTTTCACCTCAAATTTTGCATGAACATAGATACCTGCATCATCTATCCATCTGTGTTTTTTGCTGAATTGTCCATGCACATTTTGATGTGAAGTTTTGTATCGGGAGCACTGGAGAATCTAAGACACTGAGGGGCACTGACTGGATATGCATGTTCTCGTGGTTGATACAGGACAAAGTTTGAACAGTGTATGCTGTTATGATCTCTGGTCCAGCTCTACCTGATCTGAGGCATGCATATATCTAAACCAATGAAGCTTCAGTACGTTCTGTACTCAGGTGTGCAACATCAGGATTCCAGCGACAGACTAGTCGTTGTACAGGCAGAACAATCAAAGCTTGAACCGTCATCCGCTTGTACACTTTGCTCTGAGGTTTTTGCCCTCATCTAAAGGTCTAATATACCATTTGAACTGTTCATTTTTTAAAAGAAGAAATATATTTGATTGACTTGTGAAGTTCACGCGCTACCCTTTGTCGTATTTCTGCCTATATCATGTTGTCTCAGTTCTTGGTTTGTGGCTATTGTCGTTTTTCTGTCAGTAGTATGAAATAGCTTGTCTCTGTTTTTGGCTGGTTGCCTGCTGTGCATTGCATTATAGGTCGCTTAAAACTCTTTCTCCTTTATATATGGAAAAATACGGGCACAAGTTCTCAAAAAGAAAAATAGATGCAGAGGTTTCTGTTTTCTGCAAATGACATAAAAGGGACGTGAACGAGAGAATGACACGTCTCGGATAATGTCTCAATCATGGAATAGTAATGTTTCCCTGTATACTGATGTCAGCGCTCGTAGTTGTACCGTGTATCTTGGGATTTATTTAGTTTGGCATCTGACTACAGCAATTGCATTTCCACTTATGTTGATGGCTTGTTCAAATATGCGTTATTTTCCATTGAAAGCTGTACTGCATAAATGCTCTAACACTTGTTCAATTTTCCATGGAAGCATTAAAGCGCTTGAAAAGAAAAGAAAAGAAAAGAAGAGAAGAGAAATGATTTGTGTTAAATGGATGGGATGGGGATAGGAGGCACATATATAAGAAAATGAGTTTTCTTTCTGCACTGAATGTGATCAGGGACCATCTGCTTGCCGATAGAGACTTGCCATTACATCAGGGACCACTGCACCTCTCTGCAACTTATTCTTTCTAGCCATTCATTCATTCATGTTTTTCTTTATTCTTGAGCCCTGCTGTTCTGCATTTCATATTTTAGAGTGTACAGAAAGTATAGCAAGAAGTCATGGCAGAGTCCACACCATTGCTGGCTTGCTTGCTACTAACACATACTACACAGGTAGAAACTTTCTTCACTGCTCCTGATAAACTTAAGTGGTCACACATTTGTTCCTTTTTAAAAAAGGGAAAATTTCTAGTAAGTACTTCACTATGGATGGACAAAGAGATACCAAAAGTTCAATATGCAGAGCAGTATATATATTTATATTTATATTGACAAAAACAATATGAAATACAATAACTGTAATTACATCATGCTGACATGCTTACTGCATGCCATTCGCTCACTCTTATTCCTAGCCTGTTGCTATCTCTTTATTCTTCTGACTTTTGATTGACAGTGTCAAAACTACCACAAGTATGTTTGTATGTATACCTAATATATATAGGTGGGTAAGTAAGATGGCCTTCACAGGGGTGTTTGACTTTGACTGGTATGTGTATAGTGTATGTATATATCTTGACTTGTCTCATGCATGCATCCATGCATCCATATTATATGATATATGTAACAACATATATATGTAAGTATATAATAACTTTGTTCTAAAAAAAGTAATTTGCAGCAACAAATTATAACCTAACTAATAACTGATGTGTATATTGGGCTGTCATATAGTATATTATTGATCTCTTCTCTTCTTTGTTTTTGAGCTAAAACATCATCGGAACTGATGAGCAGCAGTCTTCGGACAGATCCATGAGGTCGCCGACCTGCTCGGCAGCCTCTTCGAACAGCCACGTCTCTATCGGAGACAGCGGGGACGGCTGCCTGGGGTCGTCGTAACCGCCGTGTTTCATCAGCGCCGCCTGCTGCGCATGCGGCGGTGACTGCGTCATGTCGTTGAAGCAGGCTGCTGCAGGTGGCGTATCACTCCCGGTGCCGGCAGACATGTGGTGGAACGACGACGATGACAGCAGAGCATGGTTGTTGTTGACTTGGGCGGCCGAGGGCTTGATGTCGGCAGCTGCAGCGTCGGGGGACGGGGAGCTCTGCTGCTGCTGCTTCATGAATCCGGTGAGCAGCTTGGATATGTTGTCCATGCTGGAGGCGTAGGACGAGGAGGAGCTGTCGCCGCCGTCGGCGGCGAAAGGAGAGCGCCGGGCTATTAGCTGGGCGACCTCGGCTGGGTTGCTGCAGCAGCCTCCTGGGCCCGCGTAGTAGCTGGGATTGGTGCCGAGCATGTCACGGTGGAGGTGGTGGTCGATGACATGGCTGCCGCCGCCGCCGCCGACGGCGGTCGTGGGCATGACGATGGACGAGGACGAGGAGGAGTCGGAGACCGGAGGGCGGCGGCGGCGGCGCGAAGATGGCGCCGATGGCCTGGTGCTTCTTGAGCTTCTTCTTGAGGTGGGTGTTCCAGTAGTTCTTGATGTCGTTGTCGGTTCTCTGCGGGAGGTAAGAAGCAATGGCGGCCCACCTGTTGCCGAGCAAGGACTGGAGGTGGACGATGATGCCTTCCTCGTGCGGGGTGAAGTTGCCGCGCCGGATGCCGGGGCGGAGGTAGTTGGTCCAGCGGAGGCGGCAGCTCTTGCTACAGCGCATGAGGCCCGTGTTGATGGGCACGGAGCGCCAGTTGCCCGGGCCGTGCTCCTGGATGTAGGACACCAGGATGATGTCCTCCTCCGGCGTCCATGGCCCCTTCTTGATCCCCTCCTTGTCGCAGCACGGCGGCCTGCCCATGGCTGCTGCTGCTGCTTCTCCCTCTTGCAGCCTGTGGCAGCTAGCTAGCTACCTGCCTGTAGCTAAGCTATGGCTGTATGTAGCTCTGCTCCCATGAAGCGTACGTGCAGTGTGTGTCCGGTTGGTTATATATAGGGCGAGGGGTGAATGTGAGTGAGCTCCTTTTCACTTGCTATCATCTAAGTTTGCCGCCAGCAGCAACTACCTCAGCTGAGCTACCTAGCTAGCTGATGGGTTTAGTTTTCACTCATGGACGGAAGATGGAAATTGACCCGGCCGGGCCCACTTTAAAGCAAGGGTTACCTGGTGGAACTGTTGGCTGCTACCGTGTGAAATTTAAAGCTACTGGGCTGGCTGCCTGGACTTTACATGCATGCCCACTCAAGAGTCAAGAGTCAAGAGTCAAGGCATTTTGTTCTGCTGATGAGATTGGTACATATGAAGGGTTGCCCACATACTTTGGGTGACAGCTATGTATATAATATGTCAGCTACAAAGGTCCCTGTTTGCAGGTTTTAGTATTTCCTCCTACTGGAAATATAGGTACTTCCTGTCCTTATGGCAAACTATTTTACTTTATTAACTATTGATATTTAAAATAGTATATAGAATGAAATACAAGGTGTTGTCATTACCAAATTCATTATGATAAATGCTTCTATAACATATAAGTCATTTGGTTAAAGATATAGCGCATTTTGTGTAGATATTGCTAGTCAAAGTTGAAAAGGGAGTTTAACTAGAACAATCCCTAGATGGACTTATATTTTCACTAGGAGAAAGTACACACATACTCCTATTGTAATTTATACGTGTGGGTTTATTCATATGGGTGAGCGTCTTCGTTTGTGCTGTGATCCTAAAAAAAAATGACGGTACAGATGAAAATTCCAATGAGTAATAACTAAACTGTGGACCTCAGTTACAGCAAGACTAAGATCTACTTAATACATATGATTTGGTTAGTCGACATAATTAATAAGTAAATAGTATAATGGACCTGCATGACTTTTATCAAGTGATGCAGGAGGCCCACCCTCATAATCGTGCGGCAACTTGCAACACATTCATTGGAACGCAAAATGTGCCCTGTAGTCCAGCCACATCTCTGCAATAAATTAAAACTGTGGATGAAACTGATCTCTCCTGTTACCAATTATTAAATATTACCTCCCACGGCACATCAGGATCAGAACTCGGTACCCACGTCACGTTTTTCTTGTGAATATGGATCACAACAAAATCGATCGGTATCTCATCGGTCAATCACTCTTAATGAGTATGCTTGCTGGCTCGTACTTCCTCGGTTTTAAATTATAGTTTATTCGGAACCTATTTAGATGGATTAATGCTAGCCGTGGCAAAATATTAGTTAACTAGTAATCAGAGGATCTCCAAGAGTCTTTTTAAAGTTTATTACTCTCTAAATTATTAGTTGGAGAGTCATCCGAGTAAAAATCATTTTATATATTTTTGCACCATCTAACAACTTTTCTATATCTTATGCGCACTTTAGAGAGCTATTCTTGCTCTTTATTTTTTTGCTAGCGAGAAATCTAAAATAAAGGATGTCTATAAAGATTCAATTAAAGAGGTTGTTGGAGGGGTTTTTTTTTTCATCCAAATCTCTATTGCTATATACTAGGAAAAGATACAGCTTGAAGTTGCTCTTAGTGTTGTGAAATGACATATGTTCATCTTTTCAAGAGATGATCTCATCTAGATATTAGGTTATGATTAGCAGTTACATATGTTACCAAAGGGACATTTCCTTTGGCAACTGACTGTGCAGTGAACGATTGCTTATTCATTCATGAAGATGCACCTTGTCAACACACCCTCTTACATGTATAAATAACTTTATGAGACCAATGAAAACAATAGTTCTTCCAATCATTTGTTCATTTTACATTTGGGTAAAGTACACTTTCCAACCCTCAACTCGCGCCGAAGTTCGATTTTCAACCTTCAACTATAAAACCGGTTAAAAAACACCTTTCAACTATTAAAACCGGACAAATTTAGTCATCGGCTGGTTTCAAAAGCGGTTTTCTATTTTCGGGAGGCGTCGAAATTTTATATTATTTTTTGAGCATCTTAACGTCATCAAATGAAAAAACTCAAAACTACAAAGTTGTAGATCTCATTGAGAGCTACAATTTTGATATAAAAGTATTTTTATTTAACTCCATACAAATAATATATTAGTGCTCTAATGCGGTGTTGAAACATCAGTCTCAACAAGAGCGAGAGATGGGCGGAGGCCTTCGTCTTAGGTCGGGGTCTCCGCCCGAGATGGGCGGAGGCAGGCCTCCGCCTAAGACGGAAGGAGGTCCCTGAACGCAGCGCACTCCTGTCGGACAAAATCCTCTGTCGGAGGCTCCAGACAGAAGGTCGCTAAATGAGAGATTCGGTAGGCTTTGGCCAAGTAGGAGTAAGAGAAAGGGGCGGAGGCCCTCGGCTTTGGCCGATGCTCCGGACTCGGGCTATGGCTCAAGCTCTGCCTGAAGGAGAGAGTGAGGATCAAGTACCGACTCACAAGAACTAGGGTTTCATAATTGCTTCACCCCCCCCCCTTCACAGTTACAAGTGTTCCCTATTTATAGGGCTCAACTACCACTTTACAGAGTTTACAACAGTGCCCCTCAACTGCTACGGTACATTCCAGGAATATTCCAGCCCTAGTGTCTAACCTCAGGGGTGTTCTCATCACACCATCTCACGATGTCTTCATCTTGGGCCTAAGCCGACGCCCACTAGAGGCCCATCAACTGTCCTTACGTATGCCTTGCTGACCTGATCGTTCCTTGATGGGTCTCCGCCGCCCTGGGGAACACCTTCGCCATGATTACTGCGCTTGGCCTCCGCCGTCTAGGGGAGAGCCTCCGCTGGCCGGGCCTCCGCCGTCTTGGGGAGAGCCTCCGCCGGCCGGGCCTCCGCCATCTTGGGGAGAGCCTCCGCCTGCTAGGCCTCCGCCGTTTTGGGGAGAGCCTCCGCCGGCTAGGCCTCCGCCATTATTCCTTCATCAGGCCTCTTCGAGGGGAGTTGACCCATACTCCGTATGGGCTCCCCCAACATGCGGCAAGCATTAGTAGGCGATTATTATGGTGCTGATATTTTATATTATTTTTTCGAACATCTTATTGTCCTCAAATGAAAAAAAATAAAACTATAAAGTTGCATATCTCATGACGAGTCTACAAATTACATAAAAAAATTATCTTCATCCGACACGTATTGAAGAAGATAATTTTTTGTAAATTTAGAGTCTATGAGATCTACAAGTATTGTTATAGTTTTAATTTTTCATAAGCTTGAGGATGAAGATGATCGAAAAAATAATATAAAATTTCAGCACCATAATAATCGCTTCAACACCATACTAGCGCTACGCTGCCGCATTAGAGCACTAATATACTATTTGTATGGAGTTAAATGAAAATACTTTTTATACTAAAATTGTAGCTTCCAATGAGATCTACAACTTTGTAGTTTTGATTTTTTTTCATCTGAGGACGTTAAGATGCTAAAAAAAATATAAAATTTTGGCGCCTTCTAAAAATAGAAAACCGCTTTTGAAACCAGTCGAGGACCAAATTTGTCCAGTTTTGATAGTTAGAGGGTGTTTCTTAACCGGTTTCATAGTTGAAGGTTGAAAATCGAACTTCGGCGCGAGTTGAGGGTTGAAAAGTGTCCTTTACCCTTTACATTTTACTTTAATGTGTTATCAACACTGTGCTCTAAAGAACAAGGCGAAGAAGAACAACACCCTTCTAGTTCTGTTCACTGCAGGATGAACCCAAACCTATCGTCTCTCATCCCAAATACCTCCAAAAATGGATTCAACCCAACTAAACCCAATTGATCGATCTCAAGAACAAAACATACGCTTAAATTACGCGCATGCCCTCCTGCCTTATATTTTGATGAGACAGAGGGCGTGTATACCTATATACTACTCTTGCCAATGCAACCGGACAGCAGTACTCGTGCACTGCTGGTAGCCAATACCCATGCCCTGCCCTGCCATCCACGCATGGTGTGGTGTGTGCTTTTAATTTGTGGGAGGCTGGGTCTCCACGTCGTCACACACGCGTGCGTTATTATATTAATTAGTCCTCCCCCCTGATTGGCCAGCCCGTCGCTAATATTTATTATATTACGCTGAACTCAACATATATATCCCACGTGCCCGTGTAATAGGCGTTTATACTCCCTCTATTCTGAATTACGAGACGTTTTGATTTTGTAAAGGTCTGGAGTTGTTCTGCTCCCACTAATTAGCCATGTATATGTTTCCCCGGTTGTCGGGGCCAGGAATTGTTTTCTTTTCTTTCATAAGCTAGTAGCAAAACTTATGCCGTTCTTTTTTAAAAAAAAAAAGAAAGAAAAAAGAAAATAGCCACTCATATTTGTAGCTTCGTGGGAACTTGATAATAGATTCACAATGAGCATACACAAGTGATGTATATTTTCATCTATTTGCGTATTGCATTGATATACAACTTCTTTGTTTTGTACTCCCTTCGTCCCAAAATATAAGACGATCTGACATTCAAAATTTGTCTCACAGTTCCTGACGTTATAGCCCAGCATACGGGTCTGACCGCTGCCAAAACGTACCATCAAACTGTCACTTCGTGTCATCCACTCGTCTGTAAGACCGAATAAAGAAAAGGAGATTCAAAACTGCTGACGTCTTTCCAACAGGCGATTTATAAGGCCAGCCAAACGTAAAATAGGTCTCCAACAGTACTGTATCGGCTTTTAAGGTCATGTTTGCTTATCTTATAGTCCGTCTTTTTCAACTTTTTCAGTCGAAATAGTATTTTTCTCTTATAACAAATCAGTCGGAACAGTGTTTCGACTTATTTTTTTTAGCAAAGCGAACGGGGCCTAACAGAGTACCTATACAGAAGACCCATTTTGGATGTCAAGAGAGGCACAACCTAAATCTGAGTATCCTCTCTCATGGAGACCCATTGGCAGAAAGGATTTTC